TCTATTTTTTATTTTCTTTTAAATAGCTTGACTTAAACCCGATTTGAAATATTAATAATTTATCTAAATATGGTTAGAAAATATTCTTTGCATGATTGTGGTGATAGAAGTTGTGATATAAAGGTAGACACAGTGATACGTAGGCTATTAGTAGCCAATGTTATGAGCTGGGTAATAGGAGGTAAAGGTGCTGTCTGAGCTCAGGAGCAGCCAGGGGCATTGTCTGGCAGGAGGCAACATTAGCAGTGAGCAGCCGCTCTCCAGGCAGTGACTTCCTGGAGCTGATGGGTGGTGGTTTGCTTCTGTGCCAGACAGCAACCCCTGCGAGGTCCTTGCAGGTACTTAGCATGCAGCTGTGTGACCAAAAAGGAGAGGGGAAGGGCAGTGTGGTGTTGGGAAGGAAGGAAAAAGCATTGTGTAACTCTGCATGTCTTTGCCTCTGGGCAGTGCTGTAAGAGATAACTGTCCCAATTTCCCTGCAGGAATAGTGAAATCTGCATAGAACATGTTTAAGACAATGTCTGTCTGGGGACATTTGTAGGGATCTTAGTATAACAAAGCTTTGCAATTTTCTAATGCAGACTGAGCCCCAGGCAAAGCTCTGGACAAGGGCAGTGGTGTCACTGTTTTACATTGTGTGACTTGCATTTAGAGATGTGTGGGAAGCCACAAGCCATGTGGGCATCTGCTTCCTCCATAAAACCTAATGTGCTCTATGTTACATCAGTGAATGGGGTTAATCATTTCTGGGGGGCAGCTCTACATGTATCAGTACCTCAGGGCTCTGAAATCTATCACTGAAATTGAAGTCAGCCGTTCTGACTCTTGTCTTTTAGTGTCAGTGCTAGAGTATTGTAGGTCATATTTTTATAAAAAGTCTCCTGATCAGGAATTGCCTTTCTAACCTTATTTTCAGCATGCTAGGCTTTCTGCCTTATCAGATCTTTGTTTGTGGTCTTACTGGATTTGTGTTATTTTCTTAATCCCTCTTTGCTGACACTAAGTGTTTTGATATATTTTTCTTTTGAAGTATTAGTACTTATTGCCTATTTTGTTCTACTTCTCTGCCCTGGTTTTCTTGTTACTGATAGCCTTGCAGACTGTTGTCCAGTTGCTTTTAATGAACCTTTCTGAAGCTCTTTCAGAAATGATGTTTCATGAGGTATGAGATTACAGGTAATGAGGAATCTTTGCCTATTGAGAGACCTGCTTTTCTGTGGAGCACATCTGTGGCTGGGCTTTCCAAAAAAGCCATGAATATGGAGCTACTTGTGAATCTTAGGTATCTAATTGCAGTTTTGGATCTTGGTGGAAAAAACATGGAAGGTAGGTAGTACCATTGCAAAGAGATGTGTGCAAAAGCAATTGGTGAGCCTTTTCTTATCCTGAGCTGCATGTGACAGTAGTTCTTGTTGAAATCAATACCGTAGCTACTGTACTTGCCTGTGGCATGGAAAAACAGCAGAGCTGGGACCATAAATTTTACAGGAGCTTGAAAAAACCACCCCCTGAACTAAGGAACCTCTTTGCAAGTGGCCTTTTCAGGTGAGCTTGTGCAAGATAGTCCATGCTTCTTACAAACCTAATTAATTCAAGCAGAACACCATATATAAGCAGAACTCAGATGAATTTCTGCTAGTACTTTGCTGGTGCTGAGCAAACTTACATGCAGTTGTTTGCTTTGCTCTGTATGGCAGAGGTTCATCCTCCTCTCTTCTCACTGCTTTAGCCACTTTTGACTCAGTTCAGAAGTGTGGCTTCCTCTGTAACGCAGAATACTGGGACGTCCATGCTGCTCCATATTGCCAGTCCACCTCTGATTTTGAGCCTAGCAAGAATGATGGGTATCAGCAGAGCCTTAACTGCTGTCTTTTGGAACATTACTGCTCTCAGACTCTAAGAAAGGAATACAAAATGGTGCTTCTATGCTGCTGTTAAAGAGTAATAGCAATAATTAGATTTCTCCTTTCTTGTTGCGGTGCTACAAAGAGATGTTATTTTAAAAAGAAATCATTCTACATCTGGAGCACATATCTCACCAATTTAGTAAGAAGGTGAAACTTAAAGACCTGAACTCCACTTTGATGAAGTCTTAAAGAACAAACTCGAGTAAATAAATGGTTAACCAATAAGTCTGAGTGTAGAAATAGGGAAGAGAAGTATGATTATCATGGGATAAGCAAATGATTAGAGTTATGATGCTCAAAGTATAGCCCTGGAGTCAGGTGCTTAATTATTAATATTGTTATTCATGGATGAGTCTTGATGATGTGGGAAATGAATATTGCTGGCCATGGAATGAGATGTAGGCCACCAGTTTAATATGCCAGGCAGGGCTTACAAGAGTACAGCATGCTTCATATGAATTAAATCTACCCATTAGCCACGTGCTTTCCATTGGGGATGGAGTCTTCATCAACTTGCTTCCTAAACCTGTTTATGCAGTATGAATTTTAAAAGAAAGAAAAAAAAAAAGATAGAAACAATGAACAGCACATTCAACAAAATAACAACCTTCAACTTTATTCCTTTAATATTTTTACAGGGAAATCAAAATGCCCAAAATGGAGGAGGGAGATAGGGGGAGGAAGAGATGAGTGAAGACTCTGGGCTTAGGGAAGGTATGGAAGGGGCCTGGTCTTGGTGATGAGCCCAAGTCTGTTTTTCTGGAATCATTGGCTGGATTCTGCTTTCAGTTATGCGCTTCATAACTACACAAATCCACAGTGTGTGATTAGCAGCACAAGTTGGAGCAGAGAGCAAATGGCACTCACGTGGCTTTGATGCTGACGTAAGCATCATGTGCAGCATCCCCAAGCCCAGGCACTCTAATCTTTGTTTTTGACCTTGTGTCAAACAGGATGTTTCAGAGAATGTGTTTGCTGCATTCCTCTGCTAGACTCCTCTGTAGAAAAGGCTCATTTACATGGCACGTAGCTGTATATCATAGTGATTGGGCTAATGTTCAGTTTGGGGACTATTTTGTAAAGGGCTGTGTTAATTCTTATTGAACAACAACAGTACAAACTTGATTCAAATAAGCATCCCAACACACCCAGGAAAAACAGCAAATGAAATTGCTGTAGTGAAATAAATGGAAAAGATTTTCTTTGCCCTCTAGTCAGTGAGGGCCAGCATCAGCCTCTGCAAAATCCAGGTGGTGAGTTGCTGCCTCCTGAAGCAGAGTTGGACCATCTGGATAAATATGCTGTTTCACTGCCCTTAGTGGAAAGGACCTGGGTCTTGCTAAGCCTAAGGGGTGCTAGATAAAACCTTGTCTTTGGATGAGTAGTGCATCATTCAGCAGAGGGAGAAGTGGTGCATAAAGCGTTCCAAGGGATGAAGGTTATTTGCATGCTGTGTATGCTGACACACTTGTGAATGAGGGATGCCTATTTTCTTCCCTGTGGGTGCTGCTTATTGACAGTATGGCTGTTGAAGCTATGTTCTCACCTTCCACTCCAGTCCCCAGAAGTTGTGTTCTTGTAAAGAGCCAGTCTGGTATGTGGTGGAATAGAATAGGAGTGGAAAAGATGCCTTTCCTCCTTCGCTCGCTTTTCTTTTTTTTTTTGTCTTTATTTACAATCCATCTTTTTTCATATTACTTCCTACAATATGACAAGGACTCCAGTGGATTGCTATGGCAACTGGTCAGCCGTGCCTGCATACTAAATGGAGGGACCTCCATGAAGGCTCACAGAGGAAGGAGATAAGTGATAATGATGCAAACAAAGAGAACAAACTTACACTAACAGCAGTAGCACCACTTGGCTTCATTATACTGTGGAGTAAGATGGGGAACATGAAGAATGAAAGCTGATATTGCTACTTAGGGCCAGAAATGTTTGTGGAGCACCAGGAGAGAAACATCACACTTTCCTACTCTGCCCTCCCTCTGCAGCCTTAATTACAAGCAGATATATAGCAGATATATTGGTGTGTAAATATAGGTGGACTGCTAATTTGAGGGGAGTTGGGGGAACTACTGTGGGAAATCAGGGATGCAAATGTTCCATTATTGGAGCTTGACAGTGATGAATGGAGAGGGGAAGAGGGGCTGCATGATTGGGTTCCTCCTCTGGGTACTTCTGTTAGTTGGTCTGAGACTGTGCCTGTGGCTTTGGGGAGTGTGGGGCTGGAGGGAGTAGTGTAGCACAACAAAAATGCCTCTTTGGCTTGGGGCAGTAAGAGCTGACAATAGGTTCATCTTGTGTTTAACAAAACTGAGCAGGAATTCCTAAATATCTGGCAGAAGAAGTAAGGGATGGGGAGAATCTGTTCTTCCCTGCGTGATTCAGCCTCATCTGTCTGCTATGTTGAGTGTCCCTCTTGTCTCCTAGTGGCAAGCCCATATGGTAATTGCTCCTCCTTGTGACTGCAGGAAGCCAGTCGTTTTGCCAGAGATGAAGGGGAAATATGCAGTAGGAGGGAGGAAGGAGGAAGGGGGAGGATAGTGTGGCTCTTAGGACCAGATGTCCCTGAGCAGGCTCCAGCCTCCTGGGGTGGCTTATTGTGTACCACCCTGGGTCAGACCTTTTCAGCTCCTTTTCTCTGCTTTTTTCAACCCAGCTCAGTGGTTAATGTCCTTGTATCAGGGCCCACTTGAACCTGGCGCCACTGTTAAAAATTCAGTGCACTTTGATCCCCCTTGAACTTTAGGATTAACTAGGTGAGTGGATGTTCCCAAGGCAGGGGCAGGGGAGGCCGTCTGGCTGTTTGTGATGTGGCTGGGTAGCCTGTCTGAATGTGCCCGTGGCCCAGAAAGATGTGCTGGATACAGAGGAGTTCAAAGGACATGTATGTCTAGCTCAGGTCCTGAGCTGAAACATTCCAGGATCTGGCATAGAGAAGATGACAGCTACTGCCTTGGTCATGCCTTTCTTCTGAAGACCTCTGTGAACCATCACCAGCTGGCTTCTGTAATTAATGAGAGTAGATTTTCCCTAGTCTTCTCTGGGGTTGTGTTGGTACACAAGGATGAGAATTTCACACATCACCACTTTGTTAAAACAACACATTTCTTACAAGCCAGGAAAAGTGCTTGCCCATGTGTCAGGCAGCTTCTTGAAAGTGCACACAGAGACACTCACCTGGCACAGGAGCAAGACCACAGAGCAGAAAAGGTGACAATGAATACTAAGAGGCAGACTTGCTCTTCTCTTAATCACTGCTGTCTTTGTAAATGATTGAAAGCTGCTGATGTTGTGTTCCCGTGAAATTTGGCATCCTTCCAGAAGTGGACTTCAACTCTGTGGCCCTTCTACAAAATTATTTTCTTTTGCCAATTTCAGTATGTTATTCCATCTGTGAGGCTGTACCAGGTTCCCTGTGGTTATTAATTAAACATGCTGGAAATTCTTGTGCTTTCATTTTTGACCAGAGATCTTGAGCTGGCTAGCACAAATTGATGCAATTTGCTGACTTTGGTGTAGGAGGCCGCGAGTTCAGGTTCTGTTCCCTTTCTCATCCTTTTTCTCTTTCTAATGAAAATAATAAAAAGAAGAGAGTTGTGATCAGAAAGCACTTTAGAAATACAGAAATACTGAAAATGAGGTGTTTGCTGCAAAAATGAAATGAAGTTAATACAGGCAGAGCCTTGAAATGGGCCAAGTTAAATAAGCCTCAAGTACTGATAACTTGGCCCCTTTTTTCTTAGGTTTATACACCCATATGTGGTATCTCAAAAGGGTGAGCCAATGTAACTCTAATTGTGTCTTATTTATCTTGGCTGTTTAAACAGCTCACTATGCTGTAACTTGGCCCCTTCTACAGTGATTGCATCTTTATACAGTTGACCTTTTCTTCCCCCTCCAGTTTTTTTTTGTTTTTTTTGGTGGTTTTTTTTTGTATATGCTACAAGTTTTCATGTCAGATATAATTATCTGAACCCCCGTAGGCTGTAAGGATAAGGTTTCAGCCGTTTTTGGCAATAAGGTTCTTTCCCAGGGCTGCAGATGGTTTAGGTGAACCAGATGTACTCAGATAAGTTTGTTGCAATTTCTTTGTTTTTCTGGTTGTGCTTCAAAGGATGGCCCTTGTGCTTCGGGGTTAGTTGCCTTATAAATTATAAATTGGAACTTACACTTTTGTGTTTGTGATGAGTGCATTTTTTGTTTCACTGAAGCTTGTCATAAACCATCCTGTTCTTGCAGGTTCCTCTCTAGAACTCAAGATGTGACAGTTCTGTGCGTTTGATTGTATGTGAGTGCTTGGACTAAGGTTGAAAAATAAAGTATTACAAGATGTTTGGGATCTGCTGCTGCAATACCCTATCACTGCATCCAGCTCCATGTAAGGGGCTGCACTGTGCTGGTACCACGCTTACCTGAGGGGTAAGGACTGCCTGGGTATCAGTCCATCTCTGTGTAGGCAGCCCTCCCAACTCCACCCAGCTGCTCCTGCAATTGCATCTTAGCCTGATCCTTACAGATTACTGATAGTCTGGGAAGTAGACAGATTGGTGAGCTGGTTAATTCATTCTCGATTATTTTTATTGTTTATACTGAGAAACTACAAAGAGCTGTCTCAGGTCAACTTCTCCCCTCCCCCCAGGCACTTGAAAAGCCTATGGGCAGGAGGCTTTCTGCTTTAATTTGGCTTCTATCTCACTAGAGAAAAAGAGAGAAAAAATGACTTGTTGTGACTCCAGTTTTGCATGGGGCTAGAAGGTAAGGGCAGAGTGAGTAAGGGATTTGGCCAGAGCTGCACAAACTGGCTGGGTGGGAAGTATCATCTCTCCCAAACCTGCTGCAGGGCTTGTATCTTAGGGAATCCTTATTTCTCCATCTTAGTATTCCCATGATTAGTTACAGCAGCCTTTCTTTCCTTTCTGCTGCACTCACTCTATCTCCCTGGACTTAGAGCTAGAATACTAATATCCACTAAGAACAGCAGCATCATTTTGAAGCAGAACACAAAATATGGTTTAGTGGCAGCCCTGTTCAGCTGCACTACTTGAAGGGGTAAAATGAGAAGTGTGAAGAGCTCTCTAGCTTCTTTTCTTCTGAATGAATTGCTCTTTTTTCTGTGGCAAATGCCACAGAGGAGCATACCTAGTTTCCGTTAAAGCCCTGTTCTCTGGCAGATCCATGGCCCACTGAGCTGCTGAGCCCAAACTGTGCTGACTGAAGGCAGTCAGACCTCTGGTGCTCAGACCCCTCAGGAATTGGCT